GATTATTTGATTTAGAAGCATAGAAACAAAGAGTGGGAAAGAAACCAGTTGCCTAGACCAACTATTTAATTCGGTTCAAAATCCAATATTCTCCTGCTAACTGCCTTAGAGGCCCACCTGGCAAGCCCATGAGGACATGCTACTAAACGGGAAGTAGAAACTAGTCCAAGTTATACAGAAATGGGGAGTAAATCAGGTGATGGGAATGGTCGTCATCCAGGAATAGAGGCCTGGGATTGTCGGATCTTGACCAGGAACTGAAATCTAGATATCTGTGTGAATCTCTTGATGTTTAAGTTCTGGAAGCTAATTCAAATTTTTCAATAGCACCATTATGTCAAAAGGGACACTTCTTTAGGCCAAAGACCACCAGTTTGCCCTCTTGGTCTTAGGTGGGAGGCCAGCAAAGGTAGAGGGTCTTGGGAGACAGGTGGCTCCAACTTGTAGTAACTCCAAAGCAGGAAGGAAACACCTATATTAGCTAAGTCATTCTTGACCCTTGTGGTGCCAGAAACATTTGGATAGTGACTTGGGGTCTCACTATATGCTCTCATTCATTCATTCATTCATTCATCAAACATTAGTAAATGGCTTCTCTGGTGTACTCAGCTTAAAAATAGCTCCCACCATCTGGTCAGCCTTTTAGGGCCTTCCAGTCTTGTGGGACTTGGTGGCCTTTACACCGTGAGGTACAGTGCTCCCCCTGATAATGCTAACCTTGGGTAATCACAAAATCGATACATGTGAATAGTGAGAGGATCACTTGGATGCAACTGTAAGGGTGGTAATGGCAAGATGTCCCCGAGGTTCTCGACTTCATCTAGAATATCCTTGTGGTGGCTTTGAAGGGTGGGTGTTTTCTCTTTCAGAAGAAGGGATTCTGTTTCATACCTGGTTTTCCATCTTCCTCATGTTGGCCCTGAAACCCTCTTTCTTGCAACAAAGAATCGTGATCTTTCTGCTGTTATAAAAACTGCCCTCTAGGAGGCGCCATTTGCAGCTCTCTGAGTCAGCCTGGGCCTGCTTGCTGGCCTTCCCATTAACTAGCAAGGCTACTTTATTCTGTGGCTAGACAGCTGTGCCAGCAAGCTCTGCACAGAGCAGCTTTTTCCCAGCTCTTGTAGGATCTGCAGTGCTTCATGCTGACTTCTAATTGGTCTTCCAGGTGACCGTCGAGTGTCTACCCACGCTCCTTCTGAACTCCTGTAGCAGTCCATCCTCTATGCTGTAGGTTAGCCGTGAGTGCTTCTCATGTTGCATTCTTGTTTATTCTTTTATGCATGTGGATGGTCTGCCCAAACAGATTATTAAGCCTTGAAGGGCTTCGTATGCCTCAGGCATCTGGCATAATGCACTGCATGGGACAGGGAGTCTTGTTTGTTGTCGAGGTAGGTTCTGGTATTCTTTTGTTTATTCATCACTTACTGGGTATCTGTTCCAGGCTGGGCACTCTTTTGGGTGCCCTGAAAACAGTTATGAAAGACAAGATCCCTGCTCTCAAGTAGCTCTAATACTGGGAGAGAGAGAGAGCCAGACCGAGAGAGAAATAGACCATTACAGGGGTGCTAAGTGATTCTGGGAACAGGAGCAGTGCAGGCTTTTCCCTCCCCAGGAACTCCTTTTACAAGAGTTCAGCCTTTCACTCTCTTATTCTAGGATCACCCCTGGAGACTGAATGATGCCTTTGACTGCTTTCCTTTTCCAGTCCCCACAGGAGAGGGTGACAGGAACATGGGGGCAGGTGTCCATCTCGGGATAGCATATTAAAGGTAACAGTCATCACATCTCCCTCTGGCATTCTATGCCCCTAGGATTGTGTGGTTTGCTTTTCAGCCATCTAGTAACTGCCCTTGAATTCTCAAAATGGTTTATCATCTCACTGTCTGTCTGGGGGTGATTTGGAAATGCTGATTTACTTTACGTGACGTAGATATGTGTTTATGGAAAAACTGTTCATTCTGTAAGATGCATCCCTTTCTTGTGAAGTGTCCTGTAGTTCTAACAGAATGAATTATTCCTGCCTTTTTATGCCTTTATTACTGTTAGGTCTATCCCAATTTTAATACAAATTGGTTTCATTTTGTCTTTTATTATGGCTGTTCAGAGCCTCATGCCTTAAGACTGTAAGCCTACTGAGGACAAGGACCGTACTGTGTTCACCTTGGATCTCTCACTTCCTGCACTTTTTCCTTATTTACACATAGTAGGCAGTGAATACTTGTTAATTTAATAAGCTGGGACTCTGTAATATAATCCAAGTTTAGTTATGTATTTTAGAGTATCTACTTCCAATATATGGTCAATTACTTCAGGAGTTTCCACATGGATTTTGTTTGCTTGACTTAGGTTGTATGAATATTTGCTTGGCAAATGCTTTCCAGATATATATGCAAAGGTTTCTGGATAGATCTGGGCTCCGACTTTGAATTTTCATTTCCTGTTTCCTTCTTGTCATCTTATATGGCTTCATCACTGTAGGAGTATTGCCTTACTTCCTGATTTCTTTCCAATATTTGAAGAAACATCCTCCTATTGATTTGTTTTGTCCATTCAAATATCAACTAAGTGCCTAGGTGTACCCCTGACTCAGGGGTAACAAAGCAGATTTTGATTGTACCTATAATGTGTTCAAATAGTGTAGTTCCTTTCATCAAAAGTTATGTCAATTCAGTCAAAATGGATTACCTGATAGCTTGATAGTCCAGTTTGAGAGGCATTTTCAAAAATCTCAGAGTCCTTGGCTAGGAAAGCAGAGACTTGAAGCTTCCTGTCATCTGATTTTTTTTGGTGTTTAGTATCTCTCTGAAACTCATACATATACATATATTAGAGGATGCAAACTTATGATTAAATGTTTCCCCTGAAGCCATTTAAAATTTCTGCATATTGAATTTCAATCTTTAATTTCATTAGTCACTTAACTTTAAATTTACTTTAAATATACAGAAAGTATAGTGGCTTTTTATAGGGGTTCGCATAAAGGTGGTGAGGTTTGTTTTCTCTGCTTTCCTGGCCTATGTGAAATTTAATCATTTTTTAGGCCAGATATTCTTTTAAAAAAGGGAGCCTAAAGTATAGATCTGTCTCCATGACTTGTTTGGTCTAGGTCCTGGTGTGTGTGTGTCATGAAAGAAGGTAGTCACACACCTGTCATCCAAGGAGCCCATGTGCATTCTTGACCTGTAGCAAGAGTAGTCAAGTAGTCATGACCTTACTTTACACTCTGGGTGAGCAGGTTGCCCCCAAAACAGCTCAGAAAACATAAAATGTGGAAAAGGGATTCCTTTCACAAAATACAATTTACTCTTGAGACCACAGTTTCCATTAAAGCAGGAAGCAATCTGAGTTTCACCTCTTGCAGTTATTAGACCAACTAAAACCTGAGCGAGGAGGGTTTTTTTTGGCCATTTATCAGTCGAGTAGGACAACAAAATAAGCACACATTTTAAAGTACAGTGCCTCAATCGAAAGTGGGCTCTAGAAGGGGATTTTGCCGGGGGCAATCTTGTTTTCCCCATTTCCCCCTATTTTATTCTTTCCCTTTTTTCCACATTATTTTGCATTTTCCCGTAAATCGACCATAATTCAATCTCGGGCCAGAAGGGTAAAATTGATTACTTGGCTGTTAAACATCGTGTGCTTTTTCTAAGACACGAGAGGAGCTTGTAACAAAAGAAAACAGAAACAACCTCAATGGCATGAAAAATTGGAAGCCATCAGGACGCTCTTGGAAACTCCGACAGCTTCATTTTGCAGCTCAGGATTTAGACTTCTATGTCCCGTAACTTTGTGGACAGTTTCGCCTATTAACCCCCCCGCCCCCCCTCCCTCCGGGAACCAGTGACAGTTCCTCCTCTTCCACAGTCTCACTCCACGACTGAGTGTATCCTGCGTTCCAGGACTGAATTGGGGTCAGGGGTGACGCGAGATACTTTTCTAACCGAATGGCGTTGTCGACGTAGGGACGGGAAAGAATACAGAAGTTGCCGAGAGGCAGCCCTGGGGCGCCGACCTGCTCCGGGTCCGGGAGCGGGGGGCGCGAGCGCTGCGGCCGCCGGCCGGGACCCGCGCCGAGGGTTCGTGGAGCCGGCCCGGGCTGGGGGCTGGCGGGGCTGCATCCCGCGACTCCGCCGAGGGCCGAGGCCGCCATATTCCCGCTCCACCACGCCCGGGCGGCCGGCTGGCAGCGGCAGGTCGGCGGCGGCCCCGGCCCGCCCCTCGCCGGGGGGCGGCCGTAACCGCTGCGCCCGCGGGCCCCCACCGGGGCGCGGGAGCGGGAGGCGCCCACAGAGCCCGAGGGGCCGGCCCAGGCGGGGAGCGGCAGGCGAGGAGCGGCAGGCGAGAGCCGCCCTGGGAGGCGCGCCGGGGCGGCTGCGAGCCCAGGAAAGCCTTCCAGGAGGGGCCAGGCGGCACCGCCTCCCCGCTCCCCTCCCTCCCTCCGCCTCCCCTGCTCCTCCCGCCGCCGCCGCCGCCGCCGCCGCCACCTCCCTCCCGGATCTGTGCTCCAGTTCAGAGAAAGAAGAAAATGTGTGTGTGTGGCGAGGGGGAGGGCGAGCACTGAGCAGCCGCTCCGCGCCTGGCAATCGGGGCCGGGGGTGGGCGTCTGGCGGAGGCGGAGCGGAGGCGGAGGCAGCGGAGCGCGCGGCGGGCGGGCCGGCGAGCGGGGTTTGCGCGCGAGCCGGGTGGTGGGCGCGGGCAGGGCCCAGGGCGCCCAGCAGCCGTGTCAGGCGGCGGCGAGGAGCGGGCGCGCCCGGCGCGGGGAGCCGTCGGCGGCCGCTCGCTGCGGGGACGCCCCGGTGGATGTGCTCTCGCCGCCGGGCGCAGGGCTCAGGGGAACCTCGGCGGCGGCGGCGGCGGCGCGGGGGGCGAGGCGGGCCGCCTGTTCCCAGGGAAGGAGGCGCGGGCGTCTGAGCGAGGCCGGGCGCGGCGGCCTTCCCTCGCGCGCCCCCCGAGCCAGCGCCCGCGGCCGCCTCCCGCGCCCGCCTCGCTCCTCCCGGCGGCCCGAGCCGCCCGATCCCGCCGCACCCCCCGGCCCACCTGGTGGCCCCGGCCCTGGCCGCGGTCCCCGCGGCCGTTCCCCGAGCTCGTCCCGGACGCGCGCCCGGGCGGCGGGGGCTCGGCGGCCACCGCTGCCTCGGGGGAGCGAGGGCGGGAGGGTGTGTGTGCGCGCGTGTGAGCAGGGGGTGCCGGCGGGGCTGCAGCGGAGGCACTTTGGAAGAATGACTCTGGAGTCCATCATGGCGTGCTGCCTGAGCGAGGAGGCCAAGGAAGCCCGGCGGATCAACGACGAGATCGAGCGGCAGCTCCGCAGGGACAAGCGGGACGCCCGCCGGGAGCTCAAGCTGCTGCTGCTTGGTGAGTACCAGCCCGGGGCCGGCCGCTTTGGGGCCTCCCGCCGGGCCTCTGCGGCCCCCGCCCGTCGCCCCCGGGCCCCCGGGGCTGCTGCCCTTCGCGGCCCCCGCCCCTGGGCGCCCGCGGCTCGCCCCGACCCTCGGCGGGCGCGCCCCCAGCCACTACCTGCACCCGCGCGGGCGCGCGCGGGCGCGCAACATCCCCCCGCGCGCATACACGCGCGCACACACACGCGCGCGCACACACGCGCAGAGGGGTCGGGGCTGCGCTCGCCCGGGCCTCGGCGTGTGCCTTTTGGTATCCCCGAGGGCTGTGCCTTCGGGGAGTGCGTTTATCTGCTGCTGTGCATCTGCTAAATGGCAAATCACTTCGGGGCAGAGGCGCGGGGGTAGGAAGGTGGGCAGCCGGCTTGAACTTTCAGTGGCTTGGCCATGGCGCCCCGTGCTGGAGAGGGGAGCTGTGTGTGTGTGTGTGTGAGTGAGTGTGTGTGAGTGATCCGAGGGTGACGAGCCGTGCCGGGGCACGTTGGGCGACGGCGTGCGGTGGGGTGGCCCGTGTGCATCCATTGTCAGTGCTTTCTGGGGTCAGAAGGGAATGGTGGTAGGGTGGGCTGCCTCGCGACTGGATTCCCAAAGGAGTGATGATGAGGGAGCCGAGTGGTTGGCCCTCCAAAGAAAGGGGGGTTATGTATTCGGGGGGGGGGCGGGCAGGCAAGCTCACATGTGTCACACAAGTGCTGTTCTCTAGCCACCAGACCACCGAAAAGAGGGACCCAGAAGAGTTTCTTGACCAGTGGATGGTGGCAGGCTTATTTCTCGTCTGCACCATTCCTTCCAGATAAAGAGGAGGGATACGGGAGGGTTGTGCTGTGTGGTTGTTGACAGCGACGGGTTTCTTTTGTTTAATGAGGCAACCCAGATGTAGGCCTGAATTCACAATAGTTACTACTGAAAACCAGTGCAGCCTCTCAGTTACTCTCACGGCAACAAATAGAAACCTTTTGTTTAAAACGGACAGCATTTTAATATCTTTGGGATCTGGACTAGAAGGAAAACGGGAAGTGTATTGCAAAAATTTCCCTTTAGCTCTAAAAAAAAAAAAAAACAAAAACCCAACATTCTGCCTTCACACTAACTTATACAAAAAATGCCATTTCTCAAATAGGAATTCTATTGATAATTATCTTTGAGAGAATGTTCAGAATCAAGGATCAGGGTACACATAGGAGCCAGCGTGACATAACTCTGAGCTATGGTGGTAGGGAGAGCAAACAGCTTTGCAGTAACAGGCCTGAAAAATGTCTGCACTTGTGTTCAAGATATTTGCGTGAATAATAAATATGTTTCTCAGACATGTCTGGAAGAAAGAAATATTGTAATGTCAATTCAGATTTAAGGAGCATGCAGTTTCTTTCTTGAGCATTTCATCTCCTGGTTCAAAGAACCAGTTGCCTTTGGGACTGAACTGCTTATCTACCGGATCATTTATAAGAGAGAACAAAATATAATGATCACAAATAGTTACAAATGGTTAACTCACATGCCATGCTTTATGTCTTCATCTTGAAACCAGATTAGATAAATGTGCACATGTTTATAAGGAACAGAAGGCAAAGCGCTGGATAAAAGAGGTGGGCTTTAGGGAATGAAGCCAGGGGAGGGGAAGAACTGCAATCCGAAAAGGAAGATTTAAAAAAAAAATGTTTTATTCTTATTTTGGGCTACTTCTAACGACTGAATAATGTGTAATTGAATATGTTGCAAATTCTCAAGATTGAGAAAAATAGGGGAAGAGAAATAGGCATAGAGTGTTTTAAGTGCACGATAAAGGGGAAAGCATGTGTTTTAGAGAGACTTAAGAATAGGTTTTCTTTTGCCCTGTTTACAGTCTTTGTTTATGGTTAGCTGTGAATACAGCGTTTGAGATCTCTCAAGCCATCCCTGTTGTCTGAAATGTGACAGCTTGAGGTTCCCAGCCGCTATGAGTTAGAACCCCGGGGGGTTTGTCTGTTTGAAGGCCTCTGTTTGAATCTCAAGGAGGAAGACTTTCAGGCAAATACACATATATGGACACTTAATTACATACTGTGTATTTCAGTAACGTACAGTGCTTTAAAAATGCCCTTGGGGAGATGATTTTATGAGCAAAAAAATGAAACAGTTTTACTGCTAAAGTGGTAGTAATGGAGAACTTTTTCTCTTATTAGATATTTGAGTGGGGTTTAATACAGCCTCACCCCAGCCCCCAAATATGGCCTATTAGAAGTGGTGGAAGAATATGGCATTAATTTAGTATCTATGTTCGTTAGTAACATTTAAAAATTGTACAACTTTTTGTTAGAAACAGGGACCCCTAGGCATCATGTAAGATTTGTTACAGTTTCATGTTCTAGGTATGTTGCTTTTGTAACATAATGAGTTTGATACCTATACTACTTCTACAGTAAATGTTCTCCACTAAATGCAGGTGTGTGTGTGTGCGCGCGGGCGGGTGATTTCACAATTTTTTGCATCCAGGGGAAAAATGATGGTTGATTTGAACCAGGCAAGGTGTTGGGGAGGGTTTCTGTTTGAAGAACTGCTCTCCCATCGGCTGCTTGATTGAGTTCACTGAATCTTCCCGTTCCCACCTGTCCAAAGGAGGTTATAGGAGTTATCCTTTCACAGTGTCAAGATTTATCAATATTTTTAACTACCTTATTTAAATGGAGGGGTCACTCTTAGATTTAAATGACATTCAGTATAAAATTATTTTCAAAGTAAATTTTAGTTCAAGGCATGACGCCATTTTAGTGGAAATGGATTTATTTGGCAGGGGACCTTTGCCTTTGTCCACCAATTATTTTCTATATTAATATTATGAAGAAACGAGAAAGAGAAAATAGTGGTTACCTGCCTAGATGAAAGTATACCAGTGAAATTTGGGGTGTTTTGATACACATACAGCAATTACGCCAGTGTATTCCAAATTCCATAGTACTAATATTTTTTGATTTTTACTTTTTTTTTAAATGAACCCAGAAACTTACCACTGTAAAATACCATATCTAATAATGAATTCTTGTTTTCTTTAGCGTATTCCTTCTCTGAATTTATTTACATAAGTGTTTTTCTTCGACACCTCAAAGAAAACTTTATATTCTACATATATATGTGAGAGAATACCTTATTTTAACTTGGTTTAAGTTTTTATATCCTTTGTGGGTGTATAGTACATTACATTTACTTTAACTGATTAATATTTATGAATATTAACTAAATGTTTCTGTTTGTAGTATGTAGGTCACAGTATTTAGTATTAATGTGTCTTTAAGTCTATATACAACAAGTGGCTTTGAATCCCATGCTGAAATTTTTTCAGTTCCTTGAAGATATAGATATATTTCCTGTTAACCTGTTCTTGTTTTACATGTTTTTAAAATCTTGATTCTTAGGATCTTAATCATCAAACAGGAAGATTTAGCAAACCTTTATAACTGATTGGATTCCACCTATTGAAAACAGGCTGTTTAGGCCAGTCTTAGATGGAAGAATGTATGTTCTTGGTCTTTTAATTGAATTACACACGTGTTTGTGGATTTTCTTCCTATTCTAGACCAGCAGCTTAGGAGTGTAGGGATTGTGTCTGTATTGCTCACTATTAAACCCCAACTTCTAGCACAATAAATATCTAACTCACAGCATGCTCTCAATAAGTACTTGTTCAGTGAGTGCATTTATTTCTGACCCTCCCGATAGAAATTGGGACCATGAAATAATGAATAAATTATGGAGATACAGGGATATGTAATGTTTTTTAATCTGTGGCAGATGAAAATCATGATCTTTAAAAAATTGTATGTAACTCTTTGAGCCAATTGAATATAAGTGCATTCCAGAATCGGAAGTGTTAATGTAACATGTTACATCACACACTGCACCAGTCAGTGTATTACAGTTCTGTGCTGGGTGTATTTGGGAATGCTAACAGTCATGCTTAAAGTATGAAAGTTTACAAGGAAAGAAAAAAGAAACCATTCCATATCTTGATTACTTTTTATTGTGCAGAAGCTAATTTAACCCTGTCAGCTTTTGGCCTTACACTTTCTCCATGATGCGCTCAACAGAGTGCGTTCTAAGTCTCCAGAGCAGAGGTGGCAACTGCAGAGATTTTTATGATTTATCTATACAGTTAGATGAGAACCACAGTGATTAAATACAGAGTTTTAAGAATTGCAGATGGACTCTTTTGAATTGAGAGGTATACAGTTGTCCTGAAAACTGTACAGTTATAGAGCAGGAGGGGACTTGGAAGGCTGGGAATACTCTGGCACATTTAGACAGTAGGGAGAGTTCATTCACGCAGGTCTGGATGAATGCGCCTGCCCCACGACCCCTCTGTAGAGTTCACTGGAGAAGAATGGGGGTTGATGGTTTGAATGAACCTGGAAGTTAATAGCCATCTAGGATGGCCACTCAGAACCGCAGAATGCAGGGATCTCTGTAAGCAGCCCTAATAACAGCATCTCCCTGGAAATAGCAAAATATGGTGTTGATGAAGCTGCTTTAAAAGCAACGAGTTTTATTTTTGCTATTCTTTTAGCTTTCAAGTGTTAAATATGTTTTCTAAATGACAGGATTTCTTTGGATGCATTTCCTCTTTTTCTTTCTGCTTTTTGTTTGTTTTGTTTCTTTGAAACAAAGTCCTTATAGTTTATATCTGGAGGATGAAATGGGAGCATCCCTCATGAAAATCAGACTTGTAGCTCGGACTCTATAGCAAAGCCTTCAGAGTAAGATTTTTGCATTGAGCCATGTAGATTCATTGTCTAGATCTGCCATGTAACTCACTCCTCTCTTTACGTGTTATTTCTTCATATGGGAACTTTGGCACGCATTAAAATCGTACTATACAGTGAAGTTATCCCCTGTATATCGATACACATATTTTTAGGTAAATTGAGGAAGGAGAACCAGAAGAGTAATTTAGTGGCCATTTTGTTTATTACAATACATTTGATAGAC